CAATATGATTTTATCGATTTTATTCTTCCCTCATTGCAGCGCACAGTGGAAAACCACCATTTACACATATCCGCCACTTGGGATTTTTTTTGGGAGTTCTACGAACCCGGTCCTCGAGCGGGCGATTCATGTACGCTCATATAGCTCCTCTGCGGCTGATCCTTGCTCACTTTGGATATGCACCTCATTTTTGCCGCCGTACCGGTGCTCGCTATCAGAGGCTATCGGCCGGTTTTTTCGTCATATCGTTGACCGATATTCATGTTGATTCACCCATCTCTGCATGTCGATTACCACTTCAATATGATGCTTTCCATCCCTCAATGTCAATTTAAGGAGCCTTGGGCACTCTGTCGTTGCATATAGCTGGCTTGCGGGCCTCATCTTCACTCGCATTTCTGCCAAATTTTCACCTCACTCCCCACACAATTTGGTATGCACACCGCGTGAGACTTCGTTTGAATGAACCTGACCCTCAGGATGAGCCTCACCTGTCACCGCCGCTCCTGAGGAGGACCCAGACTCGCTCTGACAGCACCGAGGAGGACATCAGAGATCTCCCTTGGGAGAAACACATGCAGCTTGCTGTCACCGCTACTCAAGCGAACCAAGCCGGGCTGAGGGCCATGAACGAGTAGTTTTGGATGTCCTATAGGCCTTTTGTATCCCTTGAACTATTTTATAGCATTTATGGTGGTGTGAGGAAAGCAGAGCGACGAGGAGCGTCGCCGATTGAAAAAGTTCCCACGATCGGCCCACTACCGCGTTTTTTCCGATTTTGGACTTGCCCCGGCAAAATATTCGCCGAGCCATCAATCCGTGACCAAATCCCGCGCCGCTGCCCACAACTCACTCATATGATGCCAGACTACGTTTTGGCGTGCTACAATACCTGGTAGCTCAACATGTTGTGTTTTGGGCAACAAAAAACCCTCAAGGTGGCCCAGTACCCAGTCGCTGATAGTAGTTGGTGAAAAAACACTAAATATTTCAAGAAAACGGTGGAAATATTGGCAAATCGGCTGAGCTCGGCAAAACACAACGAATAGATCACACAACGCAACACGATGTTCAGGTAGGTTTCTAGACGATATATCACCCACATACTTACTACTATACACAGCACATTCCAAACAAATGCATAAATTAGATACTTGTTGCATCGTGGAGATTGTTCCGTAAGACGGCACTAAACGAGACTCATGAACAATAATTGCAGGGGAGGAGATCAAAACTTACTCTGCAATATTCGTTCAACATCGTTGTGATATTTAATGATCATGTAGATGTGGCACACGCACCAAACGAGTTCAGCAATACTCCCATCAGTCCAATGTCTGTCGCAGTTGTCACACTACAGGTTGGGTTGGTCGTCGGGGCAGTATAGAGGCCATTGGAACGTACTGGATGTAAATATCCCTCGCGTTTACTCGTCCAGCACGATGCGCGAGGCTTCGAAATTTTTTCTTGAAGAAGTCACGTCCCGCGACCGCACTACTACGTTCACCGGTGAACTCCTGCGAAAGGTGTCGTGACAAGGAAGGGTAAGGTAGTGAATGTGAACAATAACTGAGAAAACATACTGGGAAGAAATATGCGATATCTGAATCCAGGATCTTCTGCTCAAACAGATCATTCTTGTTTAAGCAAAGGATCTGGTCAAAACACGGAAAAATGAGTCAGAGATCCAAGAAAGAAATACGGACACACCAGCGATGTCTGTTTAAACCAGCGGCCGTGGCAGATCGAATCCCAGAGGACCATGGAATCTTGGTTCTGAGATGCACGTCAAGAAAATGAATGCTAGGTGCTAGTGGCGACGCACTGCATCTCGGTCCTCTATAAGACACGTGTCGTATCCACAGAGGCTGGCGATGAACATAATATTTGTCACGTCCCCAAAGGTATGGATCCACTTGCGGCGTTCAGATTTCGCCCCTCCGACCTAGAAGAGTATGTCGGCGAATGATGGAATAGTATTGTTGGACGCACGTCCACTACCAACATCTCCATGTCGGGCGTTTTGATCGTTGTCTCAGTAATGCCAATAGTGCGCGCACGGACATGGAGAATATCTTGATGTGTTGGAACATATGAGGGGGAGAAAAGCCGCGGGATGACGGCAAAGAAGTAGGCCAAACTGTCCTCGTCAAACTTGGGAAAGACATCTCACATGAGACTCACTTATCCATCAATGCAATCTCATTCCCGCGGGTTACGGCTTCCTGTACAGTTGCGTCGTTCCACAGCGCGCCCAGTGACGCTAAACACTCTTGAGGAAATCGTTCCTGATGGCGTAGATCCCGATTCGATATCTTAGCAATAACATCCGCGTGTGGGAGGAGCCCATCTGGCAGGTTGAGTTCAAGGTCCGGAAGGGATTCGATGAGGATATTCAGTCCCAGTGTTACATTGTCGAATACAAGCTGTCGGTGGGCTTCGATCTCGGAGTCGGAGAAGGGGATGCCGTAATTGAGCCGCATCTGCTTTAAAATCGTGGATTTTCCGGAATCCCCTGACCCAAGGAGGAGAATCTATGCGATGTGAGAAAGGAGTGAATCTATAGAACCAATTTTACCTTGGCTGTCCTGGGAGTATTAATATTAGGGGTTTGCTGGGTGGTTTTCTTACGAGGTGTCTGGATTGGGGATCGCACGTTGCGAAGGGTTGCCCGCTGTTCATCATAGACGGAGTCAACATGATCGGTCAACCGCTCTCTTTATTCGTGTCTTCAGCCTTCGAAACTACATATATAATATCAACCGAACGCACATGGACGAGAGAGTATCAACGACGCGACTCTGGTGCCGGGATGGAATTAAGTCTTGAATTTTGGGAGCTGTTGCAACATGCCACGACCGGGGAAGAAGCTCTTCCGTCTTGGGCCTATGGAATATAATATATAATAAGTGTTAGATTTATTTTGCCGCACCGGGCCACGTACTGTCGCAAGAGTTGCACAACGTCATACAGGCTTGGGTACCAAGCCTCGCCCGTAATTAGGGGAGAAGGCCTGTCCGGGAGCCAAGTTTGTATTCGGGCCAACAGGACCTCACAGAGGATGTCGACGCCTTCCACATCTGAAGCGACACCTGGCGTAGATTCGTCGGGTCGTGCTGAGTCCACACCGAGATCCTTCAGTAGGAGTATGGCGCGTACGAGCAATTTCTGAACCACTGCTCGATACATCATTCCGGATTGTAGCCAGAACGATGGCAAATCCAAAATCCCGCCCAAGTAGCGAATCGCGATGAAACGCGAAAAAGTCGACTTGCCCCTGCAGATGAGATAAGAAATATTCGAGTGCTAATGCGCAGGAGAAGCTTACTCGCACTCAGACCCAACCACAAGTCGTTCGATGAGGCTGAGGCCTGCAGACTGGTGCAAGACGGACCCAAGGCTTTGGGGTGGCACGCTCTCGACCATAGCGGAGATATCTGGATCAGCCATGCAAGCAGCCGCGAAATTTCGATGAAAATGCCACTGCTCGGCGCAGACGTCATCGTGCCTATCCCATAGAGCAGCGATGTCATTTTCTTGCGTCCCTGTACTTTTAACGCTTTCAAAATCCAGGAAGATCCGTCTGAGACCAGGATATCGGGTGATCAGAGTAACCAAAGCCTTGAAAGCCTCAAATTGCGTGCTCGCAGATTCCAAGCTTCCCGGTGGTCAGTACGATGCTATCTGACACAAAAATAACTCACGGAAGGGTGTATTTCATCAGCCTCCCGCAATCCTTCTGCACCCTGCGCGGGATCCTGTCTCGCAGTTCGGCCAGTGCAGATTCTCGTTGGCTTCCATCCCCAAAGAATACACGAATGCGTTCGGTCACTGCCGCGGGACCGAGCCCCAAGCTGTGGGCAGCTCGATTCGCGTGCTTTTCAGCGCTGGCGCCCAGAGTGGAGTATATCTCGTGCAAGGTTTTCCCTGGACCAGTGAAGGGCGTAGTACCTCGGGCCAGAACCCCAGGGGAACGACGAAATACGGCGAGAGGCGATGTCGGCGTAAGCGCCAATGCGGACCCGGAGCCACCGCCGGAAAGATTCGTTTGCATGTCTCAGTGTTAGTCAAGGAAGAAGATATGACGAGGGTAAACGAGGAGCGGTCTTCTGGGAGCTGAGGAGGTGGTAAGTAGAGCTGTTGCGCTCAGCCACATCGGAAGATGGCATCGAATGACTGACAGGTGCCGCACAGCCGCAGCACAGCTTTTCATTCACAGCATCTCTCTCTTCTCTCTTTATAAAATAACGTTGTCTGAAGCCTTTTCGAAGTCCGATATTCCGCTTCGGAGTTGCCATTTGACGTGGAGAGACATGGTGCCACGACAGAACCTCCGAGGCGAAGTGCCGGAGGCACGGAGCGCCCCCGGCGCGCGCTCTTGTGTACAAAGTACAGTTTTCGAACGGTTTTCGCTCCCTCGAGCTGGTTTCCCTTTCATTTTTCACCAGAGCGTGACGATCTTGTGACGCGCTGATTCTGACCGGAGAACGCCGAAAACTGGTTTTCGTCGAGCAATCAAAGCTGAAAACGAAAAACCTTTTACCCCAATTTCACCCCGCTCATCGGCCGCTCATTGCATCCCACTTATCATCCACGGCAGCGAGCTCAATTATCCACGTTATGCAAACACTTCGGGGCGCACTCTTGTCTGGCATACACTAACTGTGCCACTAAATCAATGTTATGCATGATTTGTTTATTGAAATGAATTTACTACATACAGAGAGCTAGAATGGGGAGCGGGATGGGTCGGGGACCTTGTCGCTGGTGCAAAGCTGTGATGTTGTCGAAGTCCGAGACGTCCATAGGTCACAAATATTGTGTTTGAACTAAAACTGGCTTGAAAAGTTCAAACCACTATTCAAGGCCCCCCTTTGTGTATTCAGGATGATCGTACAGAGATTCCAGTTCGTTGTCCCAGTATTGCAGAGCAAAAGGAGAATTGATGTTGTCTGTTTTTTTTTGGGGGGGAGAAAAAAAATTTCCATACAGGAACCATATGACAACGGTGGGGTTCGAACCCACGCCCTTTCGGACTGGATACAGGATAACCTAATTCCAGCGCCTTAGACCACTCGGCCACATTGCCATTGATGCACCTGCCAACCTACGTCATATAGCACACGGGCCACATGAAAGCCCTGAGAACGAAGCAGGATAAGTACAAAAATAAAATCTGAAATAAGTATTATTTTCTAAGACAAGAGCGCTTGTTGGAGTCTCATTTGGTACTTTGCTGAAATCCGCCGTCAATGTAGATCGGGAGTAAAAGATCTAGGGTAAAATGCAGTCTATCTATCTAAATAATGGATACAACGCGAGTCTCGGCTGATATGACGCTGAGAGTGCGGGAGTAGTGCGTAACGCGGTAATGAATGTAGAATTAGACTCCGGATAATGATATTTACTCATTCCACGAAAGGAGTGACATGTCCCCCAGTCGTCTAGGGCGGAAAGCGTCAGAGAGAGTAGACCTCGGTGTATAGATAGAAATGATGCGCACCTGGGTTTGACGAGATGGCGCGCAAAGCCGGCGATGGCGAGGAGGACGAAGACGGCGGCGGCGCCGACATACGCCCATCCGAGGACGGCGTTCTTGCCCCCGATCCACGACACGGTGGATATCACGATGGACTTGGTGCCGTTGTACTGGAGCACCGGATAGTCTGCGTCAAAAAAATGCGGTAAGGAAACACAGCCGAAATTCACGGCAAACTTGATTGATACGCACTCAGCCCAACGATGATCTGATACGTCCCCGCCGTCATCTTGTCGTTGTCGTTTCGACCGTACAGCTTGTTGAACGTCGACAGGCCCGCGGTGCGCATCCAATTCTGGAAGCGCTCGTCGGTTTTGAGATTGGGCGGGGGGTGGGTGGCGTTGTATGAGGGGTAGCGGAGCTGCCAGTTGGGCGGGGGGACGATGTCGTCGTACGACGAGTATGCGCCGGCGGCCACGGGGTCGGGCGAGTACTTCTTCGCCTCGCCGGGCCATGCAATACCTGTCGCGGAAAACTCGTACGTTGTCGTAGTGCCGTCGGATCCTTGCAGAACGGGGTTCGTGAACGTGTCTGCGGAAACAAACAAAAGAAAGTTAGAATTGCGCGGGGCAGTCCGGGTCTAGAGATCGGACGGACCGTTGAACATCGAGTTGGCAACGAGGCCACAAGGATAGATGGGCTTCCCGCCGAGAGTGGCGAGCGGTGGACAATCGCCGCTGTTCAGTGTGCTAACGCTGACGCTCTTGCCCTTGAGCTGGTCAGAGTCGAAGCTCTTGACGTAGCGGCGGTGGTTCTGGTAGAAGTTGACTAACTTGTAGTACAGAAGGACGCTCGGGCTGAGATCGCTAAGGACGTCAAACTGGATTATGCACTGCTTCTGGTCGGAGGGGTCCGTTACGGATTGGTCCTGGGTGTTGTCGAGGAAAGCCCAACGGGGGGCCGGCACGGGCTTGTTCGCGTCGGAAGCGCGAAGGTCGTACTTGAATTTGGAGGAAGGCATTGTGGTGAAGGCGAGAGAGTCGTTGGAGGGCGAAGGGGCCAGGTTTTCGCACTCGGAGTAGTCAAATGTCATTTGTGACACGAGCGACGAGCCCCAGACGAGGAGGCCGCCGATTCCAGCAAATAAGAGCCCGATAATGAAGAGAGTGGGTAGGACAGTCTTGGGGGTGAGGATGGGCTGCCAGGCCTTCAGCCGCTGCTGCTTGAAAGCGGTGTCTGGGAGCGGTCAGCGGAGAACGAAGGAGTGCAGGGAAAGGACATGCTCGCAGGACATCGTGAGCCGGCTTTTGGCTTCTTTTCTTCTGCAACATCGTCGTTCGAGTCTGTTCGATTTGCTTTGCGGTTTAACAGGCCCATGACGAAGACTGCGAGAGACGGATTGTGCTGCGTCGATTCATATGATGCGGTCACCACGGCACAGCCTTTTCCCACTCTGTCGGACCGATGACTCATGGTTATTTGAATACATACGATTGCCGCGCGGCGCGCCGTAAACTCCATCTGGGTCTCCCGAGAACGACTCCATGAAGCCTTCAAGATTCGCCAGGTTCTTACAGCTGGCAGAAGTCCTTTCAGCTTCGATAGAACAAAATCCGGTGCAGCAGGAGGTCCGGGCGGAGGAGTGCGCGAAGATTGACAGCAGAAGAGACTTCTCTCATCACTTCACTTCCTTGACTCCATCGCGAGAAGTTCTCTACCCCACCGGAATGGATGAGACCCTACAACAAGGAACTACATCGAGATGAATCTTGATAAAATCATTGAGATGCTCTTCAATCTGAACATCGCCGGTGAATCCCTCGCAAATCACAAATTCACGTTTTCTCAGGTTCTTGAAAAAAATTGCAGCTAGAGCTGTACTTGCTCTGTGCGCAATGCCAGACCGCCCGATTCTGATCATATTTCCTTGTCCGGTTGGACTTGGTTCTTCAACATGGGACAATGAGACTCACGGGTGGTCGTGCGCGAACGGAGACGGTGTACAGTATATGAACCATTTCCGCGTCGGGCTTTCCACCTGCATGTAATTCCACCCCCAATCGCAACCAAAGAATGACTTATTAACAGATCAGCTTGGCAGGAAATCCGAACAGCGCTCCTCATATCAGGAAGCTTCTAATCAAAACCTACTTTGAACTGTTTTCAGCTTCAGTCGTCACGGCGATACACATCGCTCCGCGGTGGCTATGGTCTCCACACGTATCCTCGTTGTTTTACTATTCATCTCTTCAGCTGCGCGATACCTAGCCTAGTGACCTTGATTCGCTACGTCTGGATTGAACTCCGACGCCCGCGAATCGACCGCATCCTGAGAGTTTGCCGATTTTGTAAAGCTGAGATTGAATCACCGGAACATGCACTATTGGAATGTACGGCGCAAGCTGACATTTCAATTCGCCGGGAGGATTTTTTCTCTCGAATGAAGAAAGATATTCATGGACTCCCAGCTCTGGACTCCATGCTGTCCGCGCAATTCTTCATTCACATGATAGCTTACAGGCAAACGATCGGACTTGTCGCGAAATATGCGTATGAGATAATTCAAATCTTTGAGGCTACTCCTATGTATGTTCCCCCCTTCCAGTGCACTAGCTGATGCTGCCGCGGCGTGACAATTACTTCTTATCCTACTTTTGATAGACGTTCTGGTAGCGAATAACTCGTCAAGTAAGAGGGTCGGGGTCCAAGGCGAAGACGCAAAAGGCTTGCGCGCGTTGGGATAACCTTGGGAACACGGTGTTCAGAGACTGAACCATGCCGTGTATAATATTATCACTAGCACTATCACGTCTGTCATCTCGTTCAATGCCACATGTGCCTCTGATCCATAGATGTGTATTTGACAACTTCACACAATTGTAACTGGTTGACCACTCCCTTTTCAGGTGAGGAGGATTCGGCCTTCCTTCTAGTACTGCGTTTTACTTTCTCTGAGAAAAGCTGTGGTTAACTAAAGATATGGGGGCGCGGGATTGGGCCGTGCATCTTGCTCTGATCGGGCATCTCGGGGGGTGTTGGAGAATGGCATTTTTGGCGTGAGAAATTGGCAACGGCCGCATTTGTACCGTAATGAGGGACGCTATTCACAGACTCTGCACAGTCATTGGCTACGTCTGGCGCGGGTTGTCACCGCCATCTCATCTATCTATCAAGATTGTCAGCTATTACTTAGCCTACGACGTGTTCTGACGTTGATTGAGAAAGGAAGATTTTGCTCGCTGTGGTCCAGACTACGTTCGGAGTATTCTACAGTTATGCAGGACATATTGCCCCCCACTTGATACATACTCCACGGACTCCCTGTCAGCCTCGAAGTCATCGAAGATCTTTGAGCGCCGTTCCATAAATATTTTTGCCTAACTTTGATAAGAATCTCATCGGAATTCATGTCATTTAATCTTGGGTTTAGAACGCAACACTGAGCAATATATAAACTGGCACTTCCCTCGCCTTCCTTTCCCCCCACCGCAATACACCACCCACTACCATGGAATCGGTTAGTGATAACTTGAATATTCCGCCGCGCAATTTGACTTATTCATGCACAGGGACTTTCTACCGCTGCTGAGATCGACGCACACTCCAGAGACGTAGTGGAAAACACCACAGCTCAGGTCAGGTGAGGCTTTCCAAAAAAAACAAAAAGAAGCATCCAGATAATGATCGAATTGAAATCAGGACTATAAACAAATTCAAAGAGCTGTGGACACTGTCCCAGGGAATGACACAGAGAGTGGTACTCACTTTCATAGTCTGGCCGAGGAATTTCAGGAAAAATACAGACAGGGAGGAAGGCAGGAAGACCTTGATGCTGCAGTGCAGCATTTCAAAGCAGCTGTGGAGGCATAGCAACCCAAATCTCCCAAAATGGCACCGTGAACTAGCAGTGGCCTTGTCCACTCGCTATGACATACTGCATACACCACTAGACCTATTGAATGCTGTGGAACATGAAAAGTTGGCTCTGCAACACACACCGGAAGGGAGCGGGGACCGACCCGAGTTCTTTTATACCAGGCATCGGGAACGGTGGAATATCTTTCAACAGCAATAAAAACCCACCAGGATGCAATTCAGTTGCTCCCTCTCCAGAGTACAGATCTTCCTGTCCACCTTGAAAGCCTAGCAATCTGCTTCAGGGCCAGGTACCGCAGACTGGGAAATCCAGAAGACATCAATGAAGCAATAAAGGTCAATGAAAGTGTTGTGGACCCTGAGTATCCCAGCTTCACAGATCATCGTACAGGGCTGGCTGCATCTCTGAATATCAGATTTCAAAGGTTCGGCCACCCTGCTGACCTGGACTCTGCACTGGAGATCAAGCAGTGGTCAAACAGATGCCAGCATCTCATTTTAATCGTCATACAATTTTGAACAACTTGGGCTTGTGCTTGAAGCAGCGATATAGAATCAGTTCCGAGCTGAAGGACCTTGATATGTCCCTGGAGTATTGCCGAGCAGCTGTTGGTAGCATACCGGATAACCATCCCAATCTTGTTGGATATCTACACAATATTGGAATCACCCTTGGCTCTCGGTATCAAACTGTTGGTTGTATAGAAAACCTCGAAGAGGCTGTTAAGCATTTG